TCTTATCTAATCAAATCCAATCTATCAATATTTCTATCTATCTATCTATCTATCGATCTATCTATCCATCTATCTATTCATCTATCTATCTATCTCTATCTATCTATCAACATATCTATTTACCTATCTATCTATCTATCTATCGATCGATCGATCGATCGATCTATCGATCTATCGATCTATCGATCTATCGATCTATCGAATCTATCTATCTATCTATCTGTCTGTCTATCTATCTATCTATCTATCTTTCTATCTATCTAAGAACCCGTGTGAACATTGAAAAACGGAACGTTAACAACAAAGAAGAGTCCCTCAAGAAACCTTAACGCAACCCTAAAGAAACCCCAAAGCAACACTAAGTAAAGCCTAAACCAACCCTCACGCAAACCCGGACAAAACCCTAAGCCAACCCTAAGCCAACCCTAAGTCAACCCTAAGTCAACCCTAAGTCAACCCCAAACCAGCGCTAAAACAAACCCTAAACCAACCCCAAAACAAACCCTGACGAAACAATACCAAGCATCCATAAACCCCAAAACCAAGACTACATAAACCCCAAAACAAACCCTACAGAAACCCTAAACCAACCCTCAAGCAAACCCTGACGAAACCCAACTTTCACCTTAGACCAAACCTAAATAAACTCAAACCAGGCCTAAATAAACTCCAAACCAATGCTAAGTAAACCCTAAAGAGACCCTAAAACAACCTTGACGAAATCCAACATTAACCATTAACCCGAAGCTAACCTCAAATAAAACCTAAACCGTGCAAGTCTAAATAAACCCTAAATAAACACTAAACCAACCTTAAAACAAATCCTGACAAAACCCATCATTACCCTAAACCAACCCTTTAAAAACCCTAAACCAAGCCTAAATAAACCCCAAACCAACACTAAGTCAACCCTAAATAGACCCTAAAACAAAACCATGACAAAACCCGGCGGAAACCTTAAACCAACCCTAAAACCAACCCTATATAGACTCCCCAATACATCTTGAAACAACCCTGAACCAACCCTAAAGAAACCATGTCACTTTGATGGCCCACGAGGCACGCCGCTGGGCAGTCACTCCTCGCTCCCAGTGGGGCCGTGGAGCGTGACTGACTCCGACGTGGGGGGTGATTGACTCACTGTGGTCGTGACGTCGCAGTGAGGTCGTTATTATCCAGAACATTCCAGAACCATGTTTTGAGTACAATGTTGTTTCATTTTTTGCCAGCACCCATGCGTCTAAGAATGACGCAACGTAATCCATGTTTTGCTTCAAGATCATACCACCTGGACACCAGTCACTTCATGGAGTAACTGATCCACAAGCAAAGTGAAACTCAATGCCTAACACACTTCAACATCAACAGGAACCCTTGAATGATCTGGAACATATCTTCATGGAAGCTCATGTTGCATCTGGGGCGGCAAGTCACTAATTGTTGGTAAACCCGATGCGATAAAGCATGATAAAGCTCCAAGTTTGGATGAGTACACAAACCATTTCTAAAAACTACCAGCTAGTGGTTTATTATTGGCTTTAGCACTTTATTAACTGCACCATTATCAGTAATTATGCCAAACGTGAACCGCTTGGGATATCTTCAGGAATGACCATCCAAGAGATCCGTTCCAGGAATCACCACAGGACGATTTTAGAGCGAAGATCGCGGGCTCTGCGTAGATTCTGACCAGATGTTTTCGATGTTTCTGGATGTTAGATGATTTTAGATGTGGGAAAACCAATCATCAATAATCTGAGAATTTCAACTATACTTATTATTACACTTGACTTAACCTCCCCTCCAATTTGGGCTAGTTTGCATCCCAGTAAATTTTCGAGGGCACTTCGGTCTTCACCTTTCAGTGATGGATTGAACGATGGAAAAAACCAGGCAGCTCCAAAAACCATCAGGGACGATATGGCCATCCTCAAAACGATGGCATAAGTACCTTCCAGTAGTTTAACAGTTTGTCATGGAAGCCATGGCCAATGGCTAGTTCGATGATTGAACAACTATGTTTTTTTTTCGATGTTCCGTAGCAAATTGAAATCACCAAAGGGTAGTCATTGCAGCTCATTTTCAGGCCGTAGGTAGAAGAAAAAACTGAACCTGCCCAGACTCAAAGGCGGACCCTGCCTATTGGCAGCAAAGGTTCAAAGCATATCACACAGCCAGCTGCGACTTTGAGCTGTGCCGTGGGAGAAAAAAAACCATGGCAATGAAAACAGATTGCTTCACCAACTATATGGTTGCCATATATGTGTACATATGTCAATGTATATAATGGCACAATCATCACATTCAAAATGTGTAGTGTATGTATGCAATGTCATGTCATGTGATGCGATGCGATGCAATGCAATGGAATGTATATATAGATGCATACATGGTGGCAGAAGTGATAGCATCACCACGCTTCAAAATGGCTAAGCTCACCCACCTGTTTTGAGAAACCTTCATGACTCATTGCCACATCATCCTGCAGATTTCTGCGGATGGCAAGGTCGATTATTGAGCAGTAGCCACTTCGCCCAGTTCAACGGTCGAAGCTTCCCCAAAAGCAGCACCATGCAACACCGCAAAATGATACCCTCTGGTAATGACTAACATAGCTATGGAAAATCACTATTTTTTATGGGAAAATCCACTATTTCTATGGCCATTTTCAATAGCTATGTTAAATTACCAGAGGGTAGACTCCAGCAAAATCGGCTGTGTGTATAAAGATTTCCAAAACCTCCCCAAAAAACACCTGGGTTTTTGGACACCGCTCAATCTTTTCACTTCCCCTGGAGTGAAGTGACAAGCCACTTGGAGCCGCGTCGCCTCACTGATGGATCTTCATGCCGGAGGCCCGCTCAAAGCAGGTTTGGTACTCCTGGCGGAAGGGCATTCCGGGACTGGCTAAACGACATGTATATGCAAACATATCATATGTATATGCAGACATATTATCTACATGTGTATATATATATACATATATACGTGTGTGATCATAGTTATATGATGTTATATGTGTATAATACATATATCTATCTTGTTGGTGGTGGTCTCAAGCCATCCTTTCCTTCAAAATAGAGATGAACGCAACATCATGCCTTGGATGCATCTCCGCAGGTCATCCACCAGGCGTTCTGTGAACACAATGGGAGTGGAATTCTGGGGTGGGATTGACAATGGCAGTGGGGAAAAAAGGTCCATGTCAACTGGAAAAACACGTGATGCTACTCTTTTATAGCTTTCTCAAATAACATCTACACGCAATTGATTCTACATTCTTAACTTCTCCAGTAGCTTCAACACGCCAGGTGAGTCCTTGAAGAGGAAAAACTAGGCCACTGTCTGTAGAGAGCATCATACGAAACGAAAAGAAAACTGATGCTTCGCTGTTGCGAAAACACGATTGCAATCAAAACCCTGAAATTCAGAGATTTTGAAAGTGAAACGACACCTCGTTGTGATGAGAATACCATCGGATGCCCAACTCAGCAACTTGGTGGTTTCAGCCATTCCACGAAGATGATGTAGTCAATTATTGGAGCTGATCATTCTAAATTGGGGATTGAAAATAGTATGTATGTATATATATATATATATATGTATATATGTATATATATATGTATATATATATATGGAAATGGTGGGGGCCTATGACTTTGCTCTATGGAAGGCCATGGCTGTCAATGCCAAGTCCTCATCCTCGCAAAATCTTTCTGTTGGAATCCAGCAATTTTCTTGCTTTACTTTCCCATGTTTCGTGTGAAGAAAAACCAATAAGTGTCCATTCAAATGGCTCAATCCTCACCCTTGTCAACTCCCAACTTTTTTTTGCACCACACAAATCCATCCAGAAGTCCTCTGGTTTCTTAAAGGGGTGAAAGGCCACCACTTCAGAATCACTGCAATCTCTCCAGCCTGCCCATCATGTCGCTGCTAGGTTGGGTCTGGGATTTCGGGATGGGTTACATACGTTGACCAGCAGGGTGAGGCTTCACCCAACCCCCAAAAACGCTGACCCCCACAATTTCTTGCTGACAAATTGAACCCCCAAACCGATCATGTCCAATGGAATAACTTGGCGGGACTTCCGAGTCTTGTATTCCATTTCTCCTGGTTGAGTTCTCATTCTTAAATCATCAAAGAGTATCCTAATTTTGAGCCATTGTCATGTTTGTATTTGCCCAGCTGATTGCTTGACCCCCTTGGAGGACCATCATTCACAGGTAACCGTGATTATTTCACCCATCATTCACATGGGACCCGTTGACTGGACCAGGGTTCTTAACCAGTGACGACCCACCCAGGCACAAGAGCCCCCACTGGCACCGGGTTTGGGATCGCAGTGATCTTCCAAAAGGAGCCGAGGCTCAAAAACGCGCTTGGCCTCCGGAAACGAATCGGGGGCTTGATGATAGGGTGATAGACTCAGTGATAGATTTGGATTTTTGGTGGAAAAAACTCAAATTCATCTGGTGGTTGATCAGATGGACTTGATTTGGGGGATAGCATATGAATCTGGGTCATTAAACGTACGCCGTACATCAGTCCCAGCTATTTGTTGGCACGTTGTGTTTTCCTGGGCGTACTGGGCCATCCCTTCGGTACCACTTTGGGTGGTTGCTTTTGAGTCAATCGTATCTCTCAAGAATTACAATCAATTAAAAAATACTTGGGGATATGGCTCTAATTGGTGACACCCAAGTAGTCTAAAACCGCGAACTCTTGAGTCCTCAAAGATACAGTGTTTCTACCTACACAGATAATGCGCATATACGCCTACATACTATATACTATACATATCACCCACATCAATACCCCTTCAAAATACAACCTATCCATAATATACCTATACATATATAGTACTTATATACCGTGTCCGTCGCCAGTGTAACAATATAGTATAATTATGTACTCCTTCTACCTTATATCCCCACCTGTTATAAGCTACATACATATATATATATATAAACACATTAACTTGCATACTACTCATATAATATACTATAGATGTACTTGGGTTGAGGACGCTGGACCATACGTATGCATGTACAATACTATCTATATCGTTATATCATATATATATACATATATATATATATATGTATGTATATATATATATGTATGTATATATACTATATATATACAATAGAATAATTCATCCACCTGAAATAGTTTTGAGGACTTTTTGGGATAATGACCTCTATTCACCAGCATGCCAGTAACGTTACAGTGAGATCGTTTCAATTTCTTATATATACATTAATATACAGGTGTATATATATATATATCTATATCTATATATCTACATACAGTGTATATAACTGTATATATATCTCTGGATATGTATCCATAGATATGTATCCATAGATACAGTGTATATATATATATCTGGATATCTATATATCTTCATACAGGTATCTACATACAGTGTATATATATATGTACATGGAATCCTATCTCTGGATAGTTTTCGCATTTCCCAGCCCAAACTGGGACAATTTCCAAGGCGCATCGGTGAATTGGTACAGGCACTGGTCCGACCAAATGTCCTGCACCACTGCGGCCATTTTCAGAGCTGAGGGGCACGCTCCAAGCACGAGATGTCATGGGGATACCCGGCCTGGTAAACATACAAAAAACTATGGAAAATCACCATTTTTAATGGGAAAACTCACTATTTCTATGGCCATTTTCAATAGCTACGTTAAATTACCAGAGGGTATATTGTGGAGGTCCCCCAAACAGATGCGGAAAAGTGTGTTTAGCCCCGTAGTTTGATGATGTGTCCACCATAACTTCCAGGTGTCCCACTTTTTCTGTCTGTTTGGGGTGGTCCTGTGTGTGTGTGCGTGTGTATATATATATATTGGAGCTGGTCCCAACTTGAATTCCAGCATAACGATGCAAAATGAATTCCTACCAGAGCAAAGGAGACTGTCCAAAAGACCGCAAAAAAGTAGAGCCGGATATGTGGATCCAGCCGTAGCTTCTGAGGAAGTATGACTGGGCTATGATTTGGGTCAAGTCCTTTCTCAGAAGGCCAGAAGGTGTTTGGATCTGTAGATATAGCAACCCCCAAATAAATAGAAAAGTTGGAAACCTGGGGAAAATATCATCGTTTAAACATCCTGGGAACATGTTTCTATCCTTCCTGGGGACGTGCTATTATGTGTATACATATATATGGCCCAGTGTCTGGTGGTCCCCCCCTCCCCCCCAAGATGCTGATGGTCCCTATAAGTTATGTGTGTATATATATATGTAAGTAGTATATATATATATGTGCGTGTGTATACGTATGTAGTATGTATATGTGCAAATGTTTACAGTATGTATATGTATATGTACACGTTTATGTATGTCTGTATGTCTATGTATCCCTCCCCCTTGTGGATGTGAACCCCCCATACCATACGGAGGGGGGGGGGCGTGAACACGAGACACGGGACCATATATAGTATTAAAAAAAAACAAAAAAAACAGTATGTATGTATGTATGTATGTATGTATGTATGTATGCATGCATGTATGCATGCATGTATGCATGTATGCATGTATGCATGTATGCATGTATGCATGTATGCATGTATGCATGTATGCATGTATGCATGTATGCACGTATGCACGTATGCATGTATGCATGTATGCATGTATGCATGTATGCATGTATGCATGTATGCATGTATGCATGTATGCATGTATGCATGTATGCATGCATGCATGCATGTATGCATGTATGCATGTATGCATGTATGCATGTATGCATGTACGTACGTAGGTAGGTAGGTAGGCAGGTAGGTATGTATGTATGTATACACAAATAGGTCGTATATAACCTAAAAATATATAGAATGGTAATTTACTGTTCTAGCAGGGATGTTACAAATTTCTAGCTTTCTGGGGGGTGCTATTTTGTGTACCTACCACGTTTTGACTTTACGGATCATAGGGGGTACCCTTAAATCGATGGTAAAAATTGATGGTAAAAATCCCAAACGAAAATGGATGAGAACTAGGGGTACCCCCATGACTTAGGTCATTTTAGGAAACCTCCACATAGTAAAGCTCATTGGAATAATGACATCTACTGTGGGAATCAAACACTGATTGGTTAATGAGGATGCCAAGGATTATGCTAGTCATAGTCACAGTCATATATGGTAGTATGTCAGAGTTGCTCGCACATCAAAAGTTGATCTGCTTTGCCCATGCTTTAGATTTGGCCAATTTTTGTATGTTCACCGAAGCTTCGCAGGGTTTCATCCGCACGCGTAGTGTCATGATAAGAAACTGTATGGCCCTAGTACGATCCTGTGATCTGTGATCCTTTACTCCACTCGTAAAATGGATCATCAATCCGTATGCATGTTCTGCAAATTGCTACAAACCTGGGGACATCTGGGGACCCACCCTCTTGATACATTTAAAGTGAACCATGAATTGATTAGCTGTCCTCGCCCCACCAACCCGTGCAAGGGCCGTTGCACTGCTTCTTGTAGTTCAGGTCCCAGTACTTGTCGCAATCCTGGCTTCACCCATAAAAATGCCGACTTCACGAGGGAAAATGATGAATTCAGGGATATCATTCTGATGTTTTGGAGATATATAACCTATATGAAACTTTTATGCAGATGGATATAACCATGGGAATTAAACCCCAATGTTAGTTGGGATATGGGCCCAACAAAAAAACCTATAGTGATATCTATGAGTATACAGCTGGAACTTCACTTCCAAGTAGGGCTCCGAAGATGTTTTTTTAATTGCAAAAGAACCAAACTTTGTGGCGCTTAGGATTTCTCACTCCACTTCTCATCCAGTTTCCGAGCCAATTCATTCGGCGAATGACTCGGCCGATTCATTGGTTGTCTTCTGGCATTTTTCAAACATGGTGATTCACCAGTGGATTTAGAGATATCAAATGTTCAGATAAATCCACATGTAATCCCAAACATCTGGAACCGTTGTATTTTGGAGATGCGAGGGTATACCCCATTTTCCGACAAATACAAATCATCCAAGTAAAATTACAAAAAATTGCCCAAACAAAAAGAAAGGGGATGCAGTATTCAACTAAGACTAAAGCTTGTGTTTTTCTCACATGTTTCACCAACCAAAATGCGCACAGTATTCAAAAACCTCTGCCGTTCCGCTTACCGGCTTCAAATGCCATGGCTGTAGCCAGCTATAACCCCTTACGTCCCCCTCAAAATCCAGTGTCGTGATGGATGATACTCCGGAATAAGCCACGTGAATATCACCAAATTGTATATAAAACCTCAAGGACAGCCTAAGATTCCCTTAAGTGATCATCATTCCAAGATCATATTGTGAATTAATCTCCGAATTTATTTATTAATATTGATTATAAATCATCCCAATACTATTGCGTCCAACTTGGAATGAGTATGCTTTTTTGAGGTACAACTATCCCAATAATCATCAAGGGATATCCCAAAGTATTTGTGCAATTATAACCCCTTGATCACTATTAGGATAATATCAACCGTTAACCCCTAGCATTGGTAGAATGATCAAGGGTTATAATATCCAAGCTAACAAACATAACTATGGGAAATCAATAGCCATGTTGAATAGATTCTTGTTTACCAGAGGGTAATGATCAAGGGATAGAAACAATAATCATCCCATATCATCCCAATAATGATCATCCCAAAAACGTGATCCCAATAATATTATCCCTTGGTTTGTTATATAATATAATCCTCCCCATATTCCATTAATTGATCAAGGGATATCCCAAAGTAGTGTGACATAGCCTCTGGTAAACATACAAAAAACTATGGAAAATCACCATGCTATTAATGGGAAAATCCACTATTTCGATTGGGCCATTTTCAATAGCAAACTGTTAGTTTACCAGAGGGTATATCCCAGTATTATCCCATCATTATCCCATTATCATCCCTATAAAACCATATTAAAACCATATTATCCATAGATCATCCATAGATCATCCATAGATCATCCATAGATTATCCATAGATCATCCATAGATCATCCATAGATCATCCATAGATTAACCATAGATTAACCATAGATCATCCATAGATCATCCATAGATCATCCATAGATTAACCATAGATCATCCATAGATCATCCATAGATTTTCCATAGATTAACCATAGATCATCCATAGATCATCCATAGATTAACCATAGATCATCCATAGATTATCCATAGATTAACCATAGATTAACCATAGATCATCCATAGATCATCCATAGATCATCCATAGATTAACCATAGATTAACCATAGATCATCCATAGATCATCCATAGATTATCCATAGATTAACCATAGATCATCCATAGATTATCCATAGATTAACCATAGATCATCCATAGGTTAACCATAGATTAACCATAGATCATCCATAGATTATCCATAGATTAACCATAGATTAACCATAGATCATCCATAGATCATCCACAGATTAACCATAGATCATCCATAGATTATCCATAGATTAACCATAGATCATCCATAGATCATCCATAGATTATCCATAGATTAACCATAGATCATCCATAGATTAACCATAGATTAACCATAGATTAACCATAGATTAACCATAGATTAACCATAGATCATCCATAGATCATCCATAGATTAACCATAGATTAACCATAGATTAACCATAGATCATCCATAGATCATCCATAGATCATCCATAGATCATCCATAGATTAACCATAGATTAACCATAGATCATCCATAGATTATCCATAGATTAACCATAGATCATCCATAGATCATCCATAGATTAACCATAGATTAACCATAGATCATCCATAGATCATCCATAGATCATCCATAGATTAACCATAGATCATCCATAGATTAACCATAGATAAACCATAGATCATCCATAGATTATCCATAGATTAACCATAGATCATCCATAGATTATCCATAGATTAACCATAGATCATCCATAGATTAACCATAGATCATCCATAGCTTAACCATAGATTAACCATAGATCATCCATAGATCATCCATAGATTAACCATAGATTAACCATAGATCATCCATAGATTATCCATAGATTAACCATAGATCATCCATAGATCATCCATAGATTATCCATAGATTAACCATAGATCATCCATAGATTAACCATAGATTAACCATAGATCATCCATAGATTATCCATAGATGAACCATAGATCATCCATAGATTATCCATAGATTAACCATAGATCATCCATAGATTAACCATAAATCATCCATAGATTAACCATAGATTAACCATAGATCATCCATAGATTATCCATAGATTAACCATAGATCATCCATAGATTATCCATAGATTAACCATAGATCATCCATAGATTATCCATAGATTAACCATAGATCATCCATAGATTAACCATAGATCATCCATAGATTAACCATAGATTAACCATAGATCATCCATAGATTATCCATAGATTAACCATAGATCATCCATAGATTATCCATAGATTAACCATAGATCATCCATAGATTATCCATAGATTAACCATAGATCATCCATAGATTATCCATAGATTAACTACCATAGATCATCCATAGATTAACCATAGATCATCCATAGACTGACCATAGATTAACCATAGATCATCCATAGATTATCCATAGATTAACCATAGATCATCCATGGATTATCCATAGATTAACCATAGATCATCCATAGATTATCCATAGATTAACCATAGATCATCCATAGATTAACCATAGATCATCCATAGATTAACCATAGATTAACCATAGATCATCCATAGATTATCCATAGATTAACCATAGATTATCCATAGATCATCCATAGATTATCCATAGATTATATAACCATAGATCATCCATAGATTAACCATAGATCATCCATAGATTAACCATAGATTAACCATATATCATCCATAGATTATCCATAGATTAACCATAGATTATCCATAGATTAACCATAGATTTCCATAGATTAACCATAGATTAACCATAGATTAACCATAGTATGACGCCCCCCCGTCCACGTTTCGCCGTCACCTTGGTGCATTCCGTGCCCCCGTCCAACTTGGCCGCGCAGTGTTCCGAGGTCGCCGCCAGACTCATCAGGGCACCGCGCGAAAAGACCTGGCGCGAGCCCTTGGGGGACCCCACTGGGGACCCCAGATGTTGGCTATAGAAATGCCCAAAAAAAACCATAGAAAAGCTTCAATTGATCACTTTTAGGACATTGGAATCTACTTTTTCTATCTTTTTGGGGAGGTACTAAATGATGCTGGGTATAAGTATATAAGCAATAACTGGTTGATAGATTGTCAATGAACCTGCTTTTTGTAGGGGTAGAAGTCCAACAATTGAACTTGGGGATATATGATGTATATACATGCATAACATCATATATATATAAATATATATTATGTACAGACGTATACATCCTCTTAAACAGCCAGCTTCAATTCTTGGAGTGTGTGAATTTGGTGGAGTTCATGAATTCTCTTGCTAAATCTCTATACATCCAGATTTTCTGGAGGAAAAACATCACGTAAAACCTGGTCAAGCCGAAAGTATGCTGAAAGTCATGCCACTGATCCTATGGCTTGGGTTTGGTGGGCTGGAAAAAATCATCTGCCTTGTCCAATTTCCGTTGCTGTGCCCATACTTCTGGGGCTCACAACCCATGCTTTGGAGCTACGCTTTCGGTCATCTGCTGATGAAATAGAGAATCAACCAAAATGTGTTGGAGCAGCTATTCCAACCGCTTGTTTTCTATTGTTTTTTCAACATGACGACATGGATATCCTCAGATATGGGCCTCTGAAAGCTCCAGTGTTTGCTTGGAACTGAGTCTCCCAAAACCATTTGGATGGGTGGTATACAGATATAGCAACCCCGAAAAAGACAGAGAAGTCGATTCCAATCCTAAAAACAGGGATTAATTGATTCTAACCGTTATCTTTTTGGGGATCACTAGACATCATCCACTTGGGCCGGCGTTTGTTCCCGCCTCCAACGGTCCGTGCAGGCCGTCTTTGCAGTTGTTCAGGTACATCCCGCTCCTGGCTCTTCAAATTCAGAAGAGAAAAATCCTCGAACTCAGATGGGCCATGTTTGGTATGTTTTCCCATGTTTTTTCCCATGTTTGGTCCTATGTTTGGCATGTTTCCCAATGGAAGTTCCGCCGTCCTTTCCATCTGCGCTCCATAGCTCTTCAAAATGGGTCGGAGGCGGTTCACCAGGAAAACCGTGTCAGGATCCACCTTGGCTAAGACGAAAACCGTGTCAAGATTTTGGTTTCTGAAATGGATTTGAAGGATTTATGGAATAGTGATGGAATAGTGATGAAATCATGGATTTATTTGGCTTCTGGAATTCTGCTAGAGGAACATGGTCTTGAAATCAGGTTGTGATGTCTGCCATGGCTGGCCAGTGTTTTGCAGTCCAAATCAAACGAGATACGTCATGGCTGCCAGTGATGATTGAATCTGCTTGGTGGTTGACCTACCCTACTATATATATATGGTTAGTATGGTTTAATATGGTTTAATCCCATTGATTATCATACTTAGTTACTTATATAGATGGTTGGTGGTTGACCAATCCCTCTGAAAAATGATGGACGAATCGTCCAGTTGGGATGATTTTCCATTCCCAACTGTTTCTGGAAAGTCATGTTTTAATTCATGGTTCCAGTCACCACCAACCAGTAATGATATGTCTATGACACACTGAACATGATCTGGGTGTGTCTGAAAATTCTGTGCTGGAACTTGAAAAACTTTCAGGATATAGCTGTCACTGGCTGATAAAATGGATCAACAGGTGCTTTTCATCCTTCAACAAAATCCATGGGTTTTCAATCAGAATCATCCCGACGATGAAAATCATCCGACAGATTCCCTATGGATCTACCCCCATTTCCGTGCCGTGGAAAACCGCGCCTTGAGAATCCAGTCATGATTCAGGTACTCGGCGTCACTCAGCACCTGCCAAGGGCGGATGACATGTTTCGTTTTTGGGCCAATCTTAGATATGGAATGTAGAAAAAAAAACATGAAAAACATGAGGGCCATTAGAAAATGGAAACTATAACTAGAAAAGTAGATAGAATGGAAGCTAACATAGATATGGAATGTAGAAAAAAAATCCAGGAAACTTCCACAGCTTTCTGTAAACGCCTCTTATCAACTTGAACGCCCACAAAGCCATACCCAGGGGTATAGCGTACCCTCCGGTAATCAAACATGGCTTGCTGGACAATCCTGAATTTATGGATGATTTTCCCAGCTAGAAGCCTCCATTTTGATCGGGGAGTTTCCTGCCGGCCACGATTGATTTTCCGGAAGGTATATAAATCATCTAAATATATCAGAACCATACCACTAAATCCCGTATTCCATAATCATCCCCCTAAATCCCATGAATATATATATATATATACATATATGTATACATATATATATATATACATATGAGCGATTGTGAAAACCCTAGGTTCACGGAAAGGACATCCACAAATTTGGGAAGGTCCCATCGCTTACCACACGTTTGTACAATAATGATATATGGTAAACTTGGGGGGTATCGCTTGCAGGAAACTGCTGCATTTATATATATATATATGTGATGAACTATGAATAATATGTGATATTTGGGTATCGCTAATGTGGATATTAGAGAAATATGATGACATAACCTTGAAAAAGGGGTATCGCTAATTTGGGAAGGTCCCATCGCTTGCCTCGTGTTTTTAACAATTTCCATCAATTTCCATAAACCAATGTCCGTCGAATACATATTTAGTATTGCCGGGTTTTTTACGGTTGCTCATATATATATATTATCCCTTTTTTTCCATCATCCCATTCAATCATAGCTTTATATTGGCATTAACGACCATCCAGTACCGTCAGACGCTTCGTCACCTGCTTCCACACCATCATGAAGGCACCAAGATTGAGAACCTGCGGAAAGCACAGCGTGGTAGCAGGAAGGATGGTAGATATCAGTAGATATCTCCCCTAAATGTTCTGCATACAATATATAATATATATATATATGTATATATATATATATTATAGAATAGATAGGTAGATAATCCAATGGATATCATATTACATTGGATATGTAGATATGAAGATATGTATATATAGAATATATGTATATGAACAGATATGGATATATACTGGATCAAACCAGAATATATATATATATAATTATATATAGTTATATAATAAATTATGTATATGTATATATATATATGTGTAGTCCCATCATCCTAATATTAAACACGCCCATTGTATGGAACCCAATATGTCTAAATTCCCTAGATCCACCATGGTTTCTGGGGGGTGTTTATTAGCAGATGATCGCTGTTTGCGGGTAACCCCCCAAACTCATCAACCAAGGTCTATTAATCCAGGCTTGATACTGTACACTATATGCAGTATATAGAGATATCAAGGATATAGACGCTTTCAATCATATAATCATGTGTATATATATATGTATGATATGTATGTGGTATCCATACTGTAGATGAAATCAACGATTGGATAGTGGTTGGATTATCATAACTACCAAGAAAACCATAAAACAATTGAAGTCTATTGAAGTTGGGGGGTGTTCCTCGATGTTCCAAGTCCATGTGATCCCTGGGGACCGATCATATGAAAACCAATTTGAGCAGCGTTCAAGTTAACCGTGTTGCATCATTCCATGAAATACTGGATGGTAAAGGACCGGATTCCCAGTTCATGCATGTTCATGCATTCTGATGAACTGGTCAACTAATATCAACTAATCAATCCTAGTTGCTGAACTTAACATTCACGAACACTGGTGATACTCATCCCGCAGACAAAGTAGGTTACGAACCCCCAAACCAGTCATCAACCTCCTACAAGGTGGGACAGTTGCAAGTTTGGTCTATGGTTTTCCTGGTAGGTATGGTAGCCCCACATGATCCAGTCATGCTTGATCACTTTAGTATTGAAACCCATGGTGACTTGGGGATGCACCATTTTAAGAACCCACCATATATCGAACTAGTTAATGGGCTTTATGAACCAACGAAGATACCTGGGGGGCACCCCCTTTGTACTTGGGTCTGAAAATAGGGTCAAAGGAAACCTAAATCCCACTATTGATCATCTGCTTCCAGTTCCGCATTTTTGTGGGACATGTGCCCCACTCTTGGAGAATGTATCTTCCCAGCTGGGGATCACTAGCAGTTGCAATGACTTACGGTTTGATACCTTTGATCACCGAGAAGAGAGAAAACTGAAACTAGTCCATGGAAATGTTCCTCAGAACAGTGGAAATGTTGGATCTAACTGATCTAACTTTAACAAAACCGATGTTGGATCTAACTTTTTGATTTAGATGGGAACCATCCGATTTCTTTGAGTTTTGGATAAATTTCATGGAGAGAAGGTTTTTGTTTTCCTCATGCGAACAGGGCACCGTCATGAAGGAACCGCCGAGCTCACCCATCAAAGTGCCTTGGTCTCATCCGTGCCATCGTCAAGCTACATGACATGTGGACCCCTGGTCATCCCACCATGATGATTCATGCGGGGGCGGCTGACCATCCCCTTCTATGCGGGAAAAAATGGAAACAAACCATCAAATTTGGTGACTTCATCTGGATTTGCATCATCCGCACTTGCATATTCCGGAGAATTTGAAGCAGAACGATCCCTCGTACTTAAGGGTCATGGGCGAACAATTTTGGTCACTCCAAGGGGGAGGACCCCTGCGTTGTTCAGGTGCATACGACCAAGACAAAACCCAGAAACTCCATGAAGGTTTGATGCGGAGTTTCTGCAGATCCCATCGAATCATATCTAATCCCTATTCAGCCAACCACCTCCCTCTCGAAGGGACATCCCCCAAATCATACCCAATGTTTTTCCGAAGGTAGCTGGATCCCTAGAGACTGAACAATTCCATGAGTTCGACCAACATCGCGATGACACATCCCCATTTTTTTGGTTCATCGGATCCATTTTTGAAATATCTATATACTTAATTCTACTTATATATCCATTTATTCTGGGGGTTTGTATAAATACAGTATATCCTACATGGGCAGTATTTATATAGGATAAACATGGATAAACAATGCATTGAAACTTGCAGGATCATGCCACGTACCAAACGGTTGATAGCCGTGGTTAGGAAGTTCCTGATTCCTGGGGCCATCCCATACATCGATGTGTTGTAAGTAGGGCCACTGATCACTAAGTTCTCTCCCCGAGAGAGTTTCTCTGAAAACATGTTTCGCTAAAATTGCTGCCATAATTAGAGAAGGAGGCAGATTTTTTGGGGGTTGTTTTGTTTTTTTTTTGAAATCTTTTTTTGTTTTTCAGTCTGGGTCACTTTTCCTTGCTATTTGCTAGCTATTTGCTACATTTTGGAGCAAAAACCAGTACTTTGCTGAATTTTGGAGCTAAAATTTCAAAAACAGTGTCCACACTGAAGGGTTCTTACAGTAGGTGTAAAGGCCGGTGCTTGATCAGGGTTCTCACTCTGGGCCGCGGCATTTTACCTGCAATTTTCCGTAAAAAGTGGCTCTTGTGAAATCTTGACATGCGTTTCGATTGCGCAGGCTCGCACAAAGTCTGCGGCGCGGTTTTAGGCCGCAGCATTTTTCCTGCAAATTTCCGTATTAAGTGGCTCTTTGTGAAATCTTGGCCTGCGTTTCGACTGCGCAGGCTTGCACAAAGTCTGCGGCCAGGTTTTGGTCTGCGGAATTTTACCGGTAAATTTCTGCATGAAGTGGCTCTTGTGAAATCTTGACATGCGTTTTGACTGCGCAGGCTCGCACAAAGTGTGTGTCCGCGTTCTGGGCCCAATCTGGGTCGCGGCATTTTTCCTGTAAAATTCGGTAAAAAGTGGCTCTTCTGAGCAGTTGACATGTATTTCGACTGCGCAGGCTCGCACAAAGTGAGCAAGTGTGTGTGTCCGCTTTCTGGGCTCACATGCCAACAGAGCTCTTATGGAGATCTTGTACAGAGATCTTGCCACGAGACCTCTTATGGAGCTCTTGTACGGAGACATTGCATAAAGATCTGTTGCCCAGATCTTGCCCAGAGGCCCCTGACATCCCCTGACAGAGATCTTGCCAAGAGACCTCTCATAGAGATCTTGTACAGGGATCTTGCCAAGACACCTCTTACACAGATCTGTACAGAGATCTTGCCAAGAGGTCTTTTACATAAATCTTGCCAAGAGAGCTTTTCTAGAGAGCTTGTGCAGAGATCCTGTCAGGAGGCCTCCTGAGGTCTTGCTTGGAGATCATTTATAGATAGTTGGAACAGAGGTTTTACTCTTTGAGATCTCTTACAAAGATCTTCTGTGGAGATCTCCTATAGTAGACACCTTGCACAGATAGCCTTACACAGGGATCTTGCACAGCAGCTTCTACAGAGAACCTGTCAAGGAGATCTTGCGCACGATCTTCTACAGAGATCTTTACAAAGGGAACTTGCAGAATCGTACCTGGTATCTCTTCTTTTCACTACTAGGGTCGCTCTTGACCTGCGAGTTTGCAGCTTTTTGGTCCTTTTCTTTAAAGTTGTAGTGCTATTTAGGGTTGATTTAGGGTTTATTTAGGGATGGTTTAGTGCTTATTTAGGGTTATTTAGGGTTATTTAGGGTTAGCTTAGATTTATTTAGGGTTGGTTTGGGGTTTATTTAGGGTTGGTTAAGGGTTATTTAGGGTTTATTTAGGGTTGGTTTAGGGTTTATATAGGGATGGTTTAGGGTTTATTTAGGGTTGGTTTAGGGTTTATTTAGGGTTGGTTTAGGGTTGGTTTGGGGGTTATTTAGGGTTGGTTTGAGGTTTATTTAGGGTTTATTTAGGGTTGGTTTAGGGTTGGTTTAGGGTTTATTTAGGGTTGGTTTAGGGTTTATTTAGGGTTTATTTAGGGTTTATTTAGGGTTGGTTTAGGGTTTATTTAGGGTTGGTTTAGGGTTTATTTAGGGTTTATTTAGGGTTGGTTTAGGGTTTATTTAGGGTTGGTTTAGGGTTTATTTAGGGTTGGTTTAGGGTTGATTTATATAGGGTTTATTTAGGGTTACTTAGGGTTATTTAGGGTTGGCTTAGGTTTATTTAGGGTTGGTTTAGGGCTTATTTGGGGTTATTTAGGGCTATTTAGTGTTATTTAGGTCTGGTTTAGGGTCTATTTAAAATCTGTTGAGGGTGAGTTTAAGGTACATGTAGGGATACAAGGTGTGTGTGTATATAAAAATAAAGATAGATAGATAGATCGATAGATCGATCGATCGATCTATGGATGGATGGATCGATCGATAGATAGATAGATAGATTAGATAGATTAGATAGATTAGGTAGATTAGATAGATTAGATAGATAGGTAGATAGATTAGATCAGATGAGATGAGATGAGATTAGATTAGGTTAGATTAGATTAGATAGATTGGATAGATTAGATAAATTAGATAAATAGATTAGATAGATAGTTTAGATAGATTAGATAGAGTAGACTAGAGTAGATAGATAAGATTAGATTAGATTAGATTAGATTAGGTCAGATTAGATTGTTAGATAGATAGATAGATAGATAGAAAGATAGAAAGATAGATAGACAGATTAGATTGGATTAGATTATATTAGATTAGATTAAGATTAAGATTAGATTAAGATTAGGTTAAGATTAGATAAGATTGGATTAGATTAGATTTAGATTAGATTTAGATTAGATTTAGATTAGATTTAGATTAGATTAGATTGGATTAGATTCGATAGATAGGATAGATAGGATAGATAGGTTAGATCGGATAGATAGGATAGATAGGATAGATAGGATAGATAGGATAGATAGGATAGATAGGATAGATAGGACAGATAGGACAGATAGGACAGATAGGACAGATAGGACAGATAGGATAGATAGGAAGGATAGGATAGATAGGATAGATAGGATACATAGGATAGGTAGGTTAGATAGGATAGATAGGATAGATAGGATAGATAGGATAGATAGGAAGGATAGGATAGATAGGATAGATAGGATATATAGGATAGGATAGGATAGGATAGGATAGGATAGGATAGATAGGTAAAGCATGGTAAAGCATGGTAAAGCATGGTAAAGCATGGTAAAGCATGGTAAAGCATGGTAAAGCATGGTAAAGCCACAAAAGCCACAGAAGCCACAAATGCCACAAAGCCAGGCTGGAAAACAAAACTGAATCCCAAAAAAACAAGTAAAATTCACCAAACAAATAGCCCTCTATTAGATAAATGGTATATTAAATGGTTTTACTCCATCTTCAGACCCTAAAAAATGACACCCCGACGTCGCAGGTCGAAAACACACAGGCTGCCAGGGCGCTTGAGACTCGTCGGGTATTCACTCCTGGAACTAGTTCCATGGAGAGCGAAGAGTAGATGGCATAGTTGTCGCACGCAAAGATGCCGATGCCATAACGATACCTATAAACAATGATGCTTCCAGATTGTGTATATATAGAGGAACATGTTGTGAAAAAACAAAACGGATAGTCATGGAGTGCGCATCATCATCACATCTTCGGGGGTTCAAAATCACAGAAAAAATACAACAGATGAAGGTGGTTTCAACGCCCCAAAAATGAGTAGTTCGTCATTGGGGTTCATCCCCCCAAAAAGGAGGTAAAAAGAAAACAATGAAACCATTCACTTTGACCATTCAGCAGTGATGCTTGATATTGAGTTGATATCAGGGAAAGCACCACGACTTGATGGCATTTTCATTGAGCTTTGGCATCACGTGATTTCTGGCCCTTGAGACAACCCCATGGGGACAACCATTGGACGTCCAGTTATGGTACCATTGGGGAATAACTGGACGAAACTCGATGGGGAAAACTGAAACTCTTTCTTGGTGCCAATGGTTATATGGCAGTGTGTCAAAACCTTGTACCCCTGGTGAACATCAAAATAGCTGGTAAATGGATGTTCATCCCCCTAAAAAAGGTATTAATAGGTATCGATCCATACCCATATTGCTAACTCAATGGTTATATGGTCGTAACCAGTGAACCACAGGGAAGGAAACTCGATGGTCTCCTTGGCAGCTATGTGTTTTTGTTGAAATCCGGAGACCAATGCGACTTAGTGGGACTTAGTGGGATATAAAGATTGATTGACGATACAAGTAGTCCATACCAATATATAGATCATCATAGATCCAGGCTCCGCCCGATATGTAGATCCCTGATCAGATCGTAGATTCAAAGATCAACAAATTTACAAAGCTAGGGTCAGCTATAGACAACTCATCAGAATTCACTGGAAAATGCCTAAGCTTCAGGATGAATTTCCCTTCAACCATCCATAGAAGAAACGGTAACTTTGGCGCCCAGAAACTGCATGATCAGTAGATCCTGCTCCTGGATAAAAGTGGGGAACGGAAACTTTACCCATCAGATCCCATCGGATTTCAGAGGATTTGTTGACCAAAAATGTGCAGAAACCATCAAGAATAGTGACCATTTGTGAATGGTGATGAATGGTGGGTATATGGGGGACATTGATCGGATAGTGATTTAATTTAATGATATTTAGTGTGATCTACTGGGATATAATGGGTACATAACAACCGGTTGGTTATATTCCCATCAATAATGATTTAAAACAACTACTAATTCTACCAATCTAGAGTAGTTAAATTGATGGGAATACCGGAATACCACTTTGTTATGGGATGTTATGGGGTTATAGAGAGATATTGGATGGATCTGGATATAAAATGATATATAACTTATTCTAAAAAACGACAAAAAACTGAAATTAGATGATCTGGGGATACGGTTACCCCCGCGAACCATCATGTCTGACAACGCCCTCGTGAGGTTGTTATAACTAAGCCAGATTGAATTCCCCATGAATAGATGAAGTATGTCAATTCAGGATCATGTTTCCTTTTGTAGGGATGGAAAACCAGAATAATCGAGCCACCAGCCAGTCAAACGCTAGTTAAGAAATGTTACACCAGTCTGCTGATTTGTGTTGGTAAACAATCCTAAATGGAGATGTCACGATGTCAAACACGCCATCAGAATCAGACACCTTCTTCTGATTGGATTGGTAGATGTGGGTATGGATCAATACCTATTAATACCATTTTTAGGGGGATGAACATCCATAAATCCCAGCTATTTTGATGTTCACCAGGGGTGCTATTGGTTTTGACACACTGCCATGTTAGCATTTTATAGTTCCGACTCGGCGAGTTTTTTCGATCTCGCTTTTGAATTCAAGCTGACCAGTGGGCCACATGGGTTTTCAACCGCCAAACAGCGTAGTGGGACATCATTCATCGTCATCTCCTGAACTCTCACACCAGCCCTACTTACTCAGCAGCATCGCTAACCTTATGTTATACTCTATCTGGTCAAATTACTTTAATTCTTACCTCGTCTCCCTCGTGTCTTAATTTGTTCCCCATGATTACTGTCCTCGTTCGTTAATTTGCAGGTGCAAATTAAGGCTTTACCTCGTTAATTCGAAGGAAGAAAGTAGCTTGTGGGCCTTCTTTCCAGGGTCCAACCCCAAGGAAAAAAACTTTTCAGCTTCCGAAAAGTTTTTTTCCACGATCCACGGTCTCTTGCAGGGATTTTTAAATCTGAGTCTGATCGGTCTTTGCGCTTCTTGCGCTTGGGTGGTGGCATCTCTGACATTATCGCAGAGATGCAATGCTCTTCTGGAGCAACTCTGAATCCTACTGCTTCTGCAGCCGTCAACCCACGAAGCGGGCCTCTGGCGATAGAAAATAAAACTTTTTGGGGCCTGAAAAGTTTTTTTCCCTTCCTTGCCTGCTGACCGGCCTCTGGCGATAGAAAATAAAACTTTTTGGGGCCTGAAAAGTTTTTTTTCCTTCCTTGCCTGCTGACCGGCCTCTGGCGATAGAAAATAAAACTTTTTGGGGCCTGAAAAGTTTTTTTCCTTCCTTGCCTGCTGACCGGCCTCTGGCGATAGAAAATAAAACTTTTTGGGGCCTGAAAAGTTTTTTTTCCTTCCTTGCCTGCTGACCGGCCTCTGGCGATAGAAAATAAAACTTTTTGGGGCCTGAAAAGTTTTTTTTCCTTCCTTGCCTGCTGACCGGCCTCTGGCGATAGAAAATAAAACTTTTTGGGGCCTGAAAAGTTTTTTTTCCTTCCTTGCCTGCTGACCGGCCTCTGGCGATAGAAAATAAAACTTTTTGGGGCCTGAAAAGTTTTTTTTCCTTCCTTGCCTGCTGACCGGCCTCTGGCGATAGAAAATAAAACTTTTTGGGGCCTGAAAAGTTTTTTTTTCCTTCCTTGCCTGCTGACCGGCCTCTGGCGATAGAAATAAAACTTTTTGGGGCCTGAAAAGTTTTTTTTCCTTCCTTGCCTGCTGACCGGCCTCTGGCGATAGAAAATAAAACTTTTTGGGGCCTGAAAAGTTTTTTTTTCATTCCTTGCCTGCTGACCAGCCTCTGGCGATAGAAAATATTTTTTTGGGGGGCCTGAAAAGTTTTTTTTCCTTCCTTGCCTGCTGACCGGCCTCTGGCGATAGAAAATACAACTTTTTGGGGCCTGAAAAGTTTTTTTTCCTTCCTTGCCTGCTGACCGGCCTCTGGCGATAGAAAATAAAACTTTTTGGGGCCTGAAAAGTTTTTTTTCCTTCCTTGCCTGCTGACCGGTTCTGGCCCCCAAAAAAAGTTTTTCTAGCCAAGCCCAAGCATGCAACAGAACCAATGCAAGGCTACCTCGTCGAGGTCGGCTAATTCTGATGAGCAAAATAAAGGCTGACCTCGCTAATTCCTGCAACCTGCCTCGTTGCCTCGGCTGTCCTCGCTATAATTTGTGCAGACTCTATGTACATTTAAAAAAAACAACAACTTGCTGTTTGGCCAGAAAAAAATGCCAGGTTCATATATGTTCATCCAATCTCACTGACTATGAATGGTCAAATACCATGAAATAAAAAACATTTGGGAGTAATCCTCCCCATTTCACTCAAAAAAATGGCACCAAACCGTGGATATCAACATCCTCCCCGACTAACATAGACGAGTTGCGGGTTGGAAAGACTACGTTCCTCCAAAATTGCTGATTCTCACGGTCTACATCAATTCCATCATTTTCGAAAAATCATGGAAACTCCCAGCCATTTTCCATCAATTCCCTCAGTTTTTCCCGGTCCAACCTTGGTAAATGGCAAACACACCGCGATGCAAAGGATACGAGTGCCACCCACCGGCCGCTCGGGCGGAGAAGCCGGTGGCTTGGGCAAACGGAAGTAGTCCATCTCCTGACTCCCAAAAAAATGGAGGCTGGTTTTCCATCGAAAAACGCTGAATACTGTATAAATGTGGATGTGAACCTTTAAATGGTGGATGGAACAAATCAACATGATATTTTTTACTGGGTTTATAACAGAGAAAACATCGATGAGTGGAGATTTGAATTTCAAAGTCACCCCTTCGATGGGACTGTTTGAAGTTTGAAGTAGCAAAACTGGATTTAGCCCGAAAAAAATATGGTTGTGATGTAACCAATGAAGGATGGATACTAATGTGATTGCCCATCAGCATTTTTTTGAAATTGCACCAATGGACATTACTAATCCGTTGATATCTGTTGATATGTTCCCATTTGTGGAGTTGAGAGATGGGGTTGTCCGGAAATGATCTTCCAAAAAAAAACACCGGACTTTGCCGGGCAACTGTTTTTGGACCGAAATGCAATTCAAACTGGGAATATAAACCAACGATGACGAGGTAAAAAACCAATTGTCACCCCAATGTGTCTCTAGAAAGTCAACACCAGCGATCCTATGTCCATGTGTTGATAGTTGATGTAAAAGAAATGAAACCCTGAAACTACCAGTGAGGCCACGGGGTATAGAACCTCCTCCCTCGGTAAATCACCATGATTCAGCAACCACAAAGTCATTTGGGGATGATTCACCATATACAAAGCATCATTTAGAGTGACGTATCTACATGAGGTCCTCAAAATATGTCTAGATGTATCATGATATGAATGATACGAATGAGTCATGTATGCTATCATGTGATTGGGAAACTCTTAGTGGCTCCTTGGCTCCCCATTTCATCGGAAGATGGATATCCCTAGCTTCAAGAAGCTCCCTGCTAATCACTGGACAGTAATGTGCGTATATAATATATTATAATATATTAAATATAGCTGATGTATTGCGGCATGACTAACACAGACCTCGGATATTGCCTCGACGGTTGGCTCCTGCTTTGGCCATTCCTCCACTGGATGTGCAGTGACCGAGCACGGCAAACCACTCACTAAACCATCCTGCAGGCAAAAGAAGGGACCCCCAAACGATAGGTAGCTTGCTTTATGAGCCAACCACAAAAAAAAGGTGAATATGTATACTGGTTGGTGGTTTCAAACACTTATTTTCCATATGGAAAAATCCTTCCCATTGACCAATATATGATATATGTATATCTAAGTTTGGAATGGATTAACCAAATTCTAACCTGGGGTGGCCCATCTTGTACCCGACTTTCCACCATTTTGAATGCAAATGTATGTGTAGTTTTATTGAAATCCCATTTGTTCAATGTCATTTCTCATATCTTCGCTGAAGTTAGACCACTGTTCCCACTGTCGAAACAAAAGCATGACCAATCTCAGAGACCCTCTATATGGTAAACCCTGTCACTTTCATCTGTTGATTTTGCCGAAAAAAGGATGAACAAATCAAAACTCAGCTATTTTTTGATGGAGGTCACCAGTGGATTTTCCAGACAAACAGGTTATACATGATTGTTTCTATTATTATTATTTATGTATATATATATATTATATTATATATATATTATATTTTATAATATTATATATATATATTATATGTATATGTATAATATTATATGTGTATATATATAATATCCAAGCATAACCCCGAATACATATCCACTATGTTGCAGTTTCTGTCCTGCCATTTATCGTCATTTACCCCTAAGCCATAAGTGTGAAAGAGGCTTGCCGTTCCTTTAATCAACCTAAGTATCAGGGTGAATTCACCGGGTGATGGATCCAAGGGCAGTGCATCCCATTTAATCAGTGATCTTCTCATCCCATCCCATCCGTAAAGACTCCCCAGAAATCAGGGTTTGGGAGGTTTAAAACGGGCATTTGCAGAATAATGGGACCAACCAAAATGGAGCTGTAACATGGTGTAACATGGTCTAACATGGTCTAATGTTGACGTCACATTAGCAATCTCAAAGTACGCCAAATCCTGGGACGAAAGGATGCACCCCAGGTGCCCCGCGCCTTTTGCCGGGGCTCGGGAGACCAGTATCGCCGCTTCGAGAGCCGTCTGCGAAAAGGGATGGGAACGCTTTGGGATCCGAAAAGAAACGTTTTGATGCGACTTGTGTTTCTTTTTTAAAGATGTCTTGTTCAACTTTAGAGCTGTATGTTTTTTTGCTGTTGAGCCGACGATGAGTTCTTTCATGTTCAGTGGCAAGCCATGTCGATTTCTTGGAAGGCATGCGATTTTGACCCATCTCTGTTTTCTTTGATGCGGTTCACGATGATAATCATCCCGTTGCTGTTCATGTGAACCAAAGATGAATGGATCCTTTATATGATCCAATGCAGTGAATAAATGTGGAAATCCACCAGTCTTGGGTCCCATTTCTGTGGCCTGAAGCAAGTTTGATGGTCGTCACCCTCAGCGCGAACCCAGGTAAAAGCCACACAGCCCGGCGTCTGTGTGCAGGACCTCTGGCAGTCCTCAGTGGATCATCATGGGGGCCCCGGCCCCAACTATGATGGGAAGATGTGGGAAAATGTTGCGGAACCCAACTGCAGAATCTCTTTCAAGAACTTGCTACGATCCACTTGGCTTATTGAAAAAAAAACACCAAAAAAAGATCCGAATCGATTTGTTTGGGTCTGTTTTTGGTTGTTGTTATCAAGATTGGATAGTGGTACAGTATCTATACCATTGGGTCTTTCCATGTCTTTCCCAACACCCCAGATGCTGTCCAAGCAGGGTGGGACTTGCATTCAGGGATGGTGAAGAATGAAAAACGATACACCCAGGCACAACGGGTCGGCACTTGGCATGTTGGATCGTTTTTTTTAGCAAGATATCTTATTAAGGTCTTATTAAGGTAATATTCATATATCGAATTATAGTTATCCTGGAGTAGATAGAATAGGGATATTTCAAGAAATCCTGACAACAATGGGAATATGTTGAAGTTGTGATAGTCTATCTACTTCAGGAGGATTATTAAGTTCCATCAATCAAACCACAAAAAAAAAACATTCAACTAGATCACATCATCAAATCAAGTAAAAATAAATAAAGTTATCTTTTTGAACTGGATCACTGGTCATTATCTTATGGCTTTGCCTGAAAATTTTCAGCACCTCCTGATGCCAACTTGTCCATCCCAACATGACCATGTTGGGGGTATATCGTCCATTTTCATTAACCCGCCCATATTTGTACCATTGGTCAAAACATGGTATACTCTATGGCTTATGGTCATGGGATGTCATGGGGCCGGATTTCTGAAGTCCTGAAGAATTGGTCATTAGAAGTCCCTGCTATACACTGAATAGATTACCATCCCAGTTATAGGGATGAAAATAGCCAATGTTTTGACCATGGCAGAGATATTCATCTGGGTTTGTCTGAAAATTTTCGGAATACCCCAATTTGTAGCCATTTTAATGGGCACAATGACGATCCACCACCAAATCTGGTAGTTTTCCCAACTTTTTGTCAAAACTATAGTTAACTATATCTACCTCATCCAAATCCAACCATCATTTATCAATTGAATGAGCCTCTCTTGATGCTTAAAAGTTAAACCCCTATTAATGATGCTTAAGATTGGTTCAGTATGACTGAATATGGTTAAACATGATTAAGTACTGATGAAATCTCCCAGATTTTCATCCCTTTGATGCCAAGACCCCAGGCTAAACCCCCAAGGTGGAAAACCTCGGCCAAACGCGGCAAAAACCAAGCTGCCCCCGCGGAGGGCACGTCGCGCTGCCGCGGCAAGTCTGCATCGCCCATGATCTCAGTGCCTGGCCACAGATTGGTCCCACATGGTAGGATTTACCCGGCCTGGTAAACATACAAAAAACTATGGAAAATCACCATTTTTGATGGTTAAATCAACTAGTTCTATGGCAATTTTCAATAGCTATGTTAGTTTACCAGAGGGTAACCAGTTGGTTAGTCAAAATACCCCCAGCCGCACCAGTTGATAAAAGGGATCCAAATAAAGACTGTGAGGGTTAGAAGAAGTTGTTGGCTGTTTATGGTAGGCGTAGAAAAAATGATTGCAAAGTGGGACTGTCAATGGGAATTAGATGGTAATAAATGGGATATGCATTGATATAAATGGAAAGAAAGTGACTAATGAAGATATGATTCATACCTTCAACTGACTAGTCCAGTCAGAGATCAAAACTGGACTAGTCAACGGCACATGGAGTTTCCAGCTATGAACAATCAAGAATCTATAGGATATGTGACTGACTACAATATCAAAAAAAATATTACATAGTTATCTACAGTATCTTTGAGGATATGTGACGGGTGATTATGATATTTCCAATTATTTCATATTCTCTGTGGGTATTCAACTCCTATGAATGGAGTATCTATAGGATAAGCCATCCAGACGGCCCCACCGGGGTCTAAATCCCTATGCAATCTGGTCATTCCACCATCATTGGGGATTCGTGACTGATGTCGTGGTGAAAACCCGCCTGTTTTACAAAGCACACACACACAAAAATCACAATAATTTCAGATGTCATTCTCTACATGGCTAAATCTTTCGAAAAAATGATTGATAGCCATTGATAGCTTTTAGGAGTGGTTTTGGCTTTTCTTGCGTTTACACTGCAATGACCTACACCTCAGCCATTCCGTGGGACCCACGGCCTAAGGACAAGGGAGGGCATAAGTGCCGCTGCTGCCACTTGACCAGATCCTCAAACTTCGCCTCAAAACTGTCATCAAACATGGCTGGAAATCCCCAACATAAATGAAGGTTTCATGGGAATATCAATGGGGATTTTCCAGCTAGCCATCTTTGATCGCCAAAGGGTATCAATATGTATCAATATGTATCAATATGTATCAATATGTATCAATATGTGTCAATATGTATCAATATCAGACAGGGTTGAGAAAAAGGTGGCCTTATGCGATTATGAAACCCTCCAAAATCGAGCATTGCCAATCTTCGATACCTCGCATTTGTTTCGGCTGGTAAGTATATATCCCCATTTAGTCAAAAATAGTGAGTGACAAAGTATCTATCCATGGTCGACGCGAAATTGGGTACCCAGCTTGGCCAATGTTGATTGGGAAAATTAGGTTTTTAACATCTTCGACAGGTTTTAACCATTGGATTTGGGCGCTTCCAGGACGGTCCGACAACAGAAACTGGGAGACCGAAAGATGGTTGAAACAGTGTGGGAAAATCCCATGCTCATCTAGCTAAAGACTACACGTAGCCTAGCCCTTGCTTTTTAATAACTGCAATCCCCAACTACATTTGGGTTTTGTGCGAAAATAGGGTACTTCAAAATCCAAACAAATGGTTAAATGTGGGTTTCCATTCTTTTCCCGTGTCATACCGGGCCATTTGTCGGGCCCTTTGATATTTTTTCACCACACCCAGCACCGGCGCAGCCCGCCCTGCCGGCCTTCTTGGGAACGAATTCATAATGATGGGAATATTGGTAGTAGCGTCTCTTGGTCAACGGAGCATCCATATCATCCACCACCTTAAAGACCTCTGATGGCAGGGGGCCAATGGGATGATCAAAGGGATTGACCATCTGGTTATGACTAACAGCCAGCCAGTAACTGTCATGGAAAATGACCTTTTTTTTAATAGGTAAACAATAGGTAAAGCATCTATTTCTATGGGCCATCTACCCATGGCGAAGTGTTAGTCATAACCAGAGGACAATTGAGGATTTAATGGGATGATTTCATGGGATATATCCGGTTGGAAGCTGGGAAAGTCGTCTATAAATCTGCAATCATGATCATCATGGTTACCATGATGATGATCCTAAATAGGGATACACCGATATACCCCATCATCAACCCCTCTGAAAAATATGAGTTCGTCAGTTAAGATTATTATTCCCTTTATATATATATACAGTATATATATCTATGGAAAGTCATAATTCCTTCATGTTCCAAACCACCAATCAGTCAACCTCGTCTCATTCCAGGACGAGAACCCCGCCTTGGCCCACTCGTCCAGTGGTAGGACCTGGCGCAGGGTCCCCCCCCATCGGATCATCTGGATGATTCCCAACAGCAAATCATCTGGAAACAATATCAGTATCATTATTTACGTAAACCCAAAGGGCTTCGTCTATAGGAACCAGATCTGACGCTAAGAGCCTTACATAAACCAAAGACGTAAAGAACCAACATAAAACAACGTAAACGCAACATAAAAGCAAACACAAGTGAATCATAAACACATCGGAAACTCATCATAAACAGAACACAAGTGAATCCACAATAAAACATAAAACGACTCATCAACAAAACACAAATGAATCCACAAACCATTCTGGCAGTCATGTGTCCCAACTGTCGCGCACGTGTTTCCATCTTCTCTGGAGGTGAGCGGAGTTATGTGACACAATGTTTGCTCTGTGTTTCACTTGTGTTTGACATACACTTTGTTTGCGCAGCACTTGCGTCAGGCAAAAGTCTAAGATCTTATTCTGGGAAAATAAGATCTTAGGATTTTGACATACATAAAAAAACACAAACGAAACACAAACAAAACATAAACAAAACACAAATGTAGCATATACTTGTTTATGTTTTTTTGTGTTCTGTTTATGTTTTGGTTTATGTTTTGTTTGTGTGTTTTGTGTCAATTATTTGCGTAAGGCCTTATTTTTATGTTTTTTGTGTTTTTTTGTGCAAACTTGCATAAAAAAAACACAAAAAAACATAAAAATAAGGCCATACCCAAATCACCGACAAAAAAAAACAAATCAAACATAAACAAAAAATAAACCAAAACATAAACAGAACACAAAAAAACATAAACAAGTTTATGCTACATTTGTGTTTTGTTTGTGTTTCGCTTGTGTTTTTTATGTATGTCAAAATCCTAAGATCTTATTTTCCCAGAATAAGATCTTAGACTTTTGCCTGACGCAAGTGCTGCGCAAACAAAACGTATGTCAGACATATGTGAAACATGTCGGAGACATCAGTTTCACATTGGCTGCAGGTTTGTACCAGGTTTGGATTTCAAATTGGCAACTGCTTGACACAGGGGGAACGGCCAACTCATGTTTCACATATGTTGCAAATTTCACACACATATTTTGCTTTATGTGTCACTTATGTTTCAATTATATTCCATTTATGTTTCGTTTGCGTTCCACATATGTGTTGTCTTATGTTTGACATATGTTTCATATACGTTTCACATATGTTTCGTTTATGTTTCACATATGTTTTTACTTACGCCTAGGCATAGTTTATGTTTACGTCATGCCCCGTCCACCCTCTATAGAAACCATCCCTGGAGCCCCTTTGGATCAAGCTAAATCATTATACATGTACAAATACATCATGTTTGTGTGTAATATACATAGTACACATACATATAGATCATGTAATTAATATATATATATACTCTCAAAATTGGCATTTGCCCCATGTTTTGTCGTATTTTTTCCCACTTCTATGCGTCAACTCAGGGTCAAGGATTTTTCAATCAAAGAATCATGTCATACATCCCTCAATGTCAGTTTTAACAGGGAAAAATGTGAGTGTCCATTGGATCTTGGGTTTTTCCCCTAAATTTTCAGACAAACACATACTAAAATCATGTAAAAACACCATAAATCAACACCATCCCACCTGATCCTTGCTGGTGGGTCCAGCCCACTCTTGGATCACTTCCTTCCGGAGCCCTGAACGGCGCGCTGAAGGGCGTGCTGAACGCGCCGGTATACCCGGTATCGCAAGGAGGGCTATCACCTCGGCTGTTTTCAGATCTGTCTGGGGATGGTTGAATTACGTATTCTTTATGGGATATTCATGGGATGTTCATCGGATGTTCATGGGATGATTATGGTATTTCTTATGGGATGATTGTGGGATTGATGTTAATGGGATATTGATGTTATGTTCATGGGAATATTCATTTATACAAGGTGCAAACTGGATGACGTTCACAGGACTAATGCTCAAATATTGATGACAATTGTGACGAATAACTTTTTAACTACCTATAGCAAAAATAGGGATTGACCATTATTTAGCTAGGAAAAATCATGTTTTGGGTGGTGCCCCAGTTAGCAAAGTTGCGATACCAAGGCCAACCATTGTCTTTTTAACAAACAACAACGGTGAGTTGTTTCTCACACTTTGTAGCCAGGTCTCCCAGGGCTATCTTGAATACCTATTCTTATATCCAGATTATATATATATATAATAATAATAAATAATAATAATAAGTAATGATAACAATAATAATACTAATACTAATAACAATACTACTACTACTACTACTAGTAATAATAATAATATACTGTATATGTAGTGTATATGTATGAATTGTTTCTATGTTGCAAGTGGGAAAGATTATATTTCAACACCCACACTTGTCACTCTTGGCTGTCAGTGTTCACTTGTCTTCCAAACGTCTTCAACTTCTGGTGGAGATGGAGTACATGTTTGAATGGTTGTATGCATCATGCACACAGATATGATATAATATAATATGATATAATGTAATACATAATAGTATAATATAATATATTATATATAATATAATATAATATAATATAATATAATATGTTATATATAATATAATATAATATAATATAATATAATATAATATAATATAATATAATATAATATAATATAATATAATATATATATATAAAATATAATATATATATATATATAATATATATATATATCATTGTAAATTGTAAATCAATATGTATCATAATATAACATTACATAATAATATATATATATTATTATTGTATTGTATTGGAGTTTATCAGTGGACATAAATTAATGTAGATTTATAGTACCGGTATGGTCGAACACAGGAAGTTGAGACCGAAATTCGTGGGCCGCTCGGCGGCATCATTTCACTGGGATCCAAGAAATGAAGCCGTCTTGGCTGGTCACAGCCTGGTGGTTTCACACCCCTGAAATCTGGAAAAAAAATCCACCAGATTATCGGTCTGTACATGTCTGTACCATTTATATCATTTTATATCCCAATTCCAGATGGTTAAAATTGGTTAAATCCTTTTAAATCACCAACAGGCAGAGCTCCTGCGAAGAGTCACAGCTAGGGCCAGCAGTCCCATGATGCTGGTCCGGTTGAAGATCTTGGGAGCATAGGCTGCTATGGATCCTATGGACCTCTCGGACGGCGCATCCTCGATGTGAGCATAGCTCTCCTTAATGAGGTAGAAAGAGGCTTTCAGAAATGGAGATAGCCAGGAAAATGTGGCACAATATGGATCAATATGGGACAATTCACCCGCTACTATTTCGGGGGGTAATGACAGTTTATTGTGACCCCCATTTTCTAGCAAAAATTACACCGGCATAGACCCCAGATAGAAAAGGTTGGAACTGATGGTTCCCAACGTGGGAACCAAAGGTTACCATGGCAAGGAACTGCCGGTTCCCAGACCTTGAAGCTTACGGTTCCCAACCTGGGAACCAGAGGTTGCCATTGCGAGGGGAATTGCCGGTTCCCAGAAGTTAGAATTTATGTTTTCGAAGCTAAGCAACTATCATTGTAAGGGATTCCCAAAGCTTGAAACTCATGGTTCCAAACCTGAAAAAGCATACGTTACCAGTGGAAGGATCTGTTGATTCCAAAAAGTTAAAACTCATGGTTCTTAATGTTGTTTTGTTTTATTTACTGAGCCGGTAACAGAACCTTTTGTTTTGCTTAATGGACCGGTAGCGGAATGTTTGCGTTTGGCTGTTGGGCCGGCATAAAAATGTTTTTGCACGAAAAAGGTGCATGTTAAAATGATATGAAAACAGTTTCTTTACAACTTTATGGTTTTGCTTAATGGACCGGTAAAGAACGCTTTGTTTTGCTTAATGGACCGGTACCGGATTTTTTGCGTTTGGTTCATGGCAAGGAACTGCCGGTTCCCAATGGTTGGAACTCACGGTTGCCAACGTGGGAACCACAGGTTACCATTGCAAGGAACTGCCGGTTCTCAGAGGTTGGAACTCATGGTTCCCAACCTGGGAACCAGAGGTTACCACTGCAAGCAACTGCCGGTTACCGGAGGTTGGAACTCATGCTTCCCAACCTGCGAACCATAGGTTACCATTGCAAAGAACTTCCAATTCCTAAAGGTTGGAACTGATGGTTCCCAACGTGGGAACCAAAGGTTACCATGGCAAGGAACTGCCGGTTCCCAGACCTTGTGACCTTGAAACTTACGGTTCCCAACCTGGGAACCAGAGGTTACTATTGCAAGGAATTGCCTGTTCCCAGAAGTTAGAATTTATGTTTTCGAAGCTAAGCGGCTATCATTGTAAGGAACTGCGGGGTCCCAAAGCTTGAAACTCATGGTTCCAAGCCTGAAAAAGTAACATTACCAGTGGAAGGATCTGTTGATTGCAAAAAGTTAAGACTCATGGTTCTTAATGTTGTTTTGTTTTGTTTACTGAGCCGGCAACAGAACCTTTTGTTTTCTTAGTGGACCGGTAGCGGAGTGTTTGCGTTCGGCTGCTGGGCCGGCATAAAAATGTTTTTGCACGAAAAAGGTGCATGTCAAAATGAAATAAAAACAGTTTCTTTACATTTTTTGGGTTTTGCTTAATGGACCGGTACAGAACGCTTTGTTTTGCTTAATGGACCGGTACCGGAATGTTTGCGTTTGGTTCATGGCAAGGAACTGCCGGGTCCCAAAGGTTGGAACTCACGCTTGCCAACGTGGGAACCACAGGTTACCACTGCTGCTGCTGCTGCTGGTTCCCAACCTGGGAACCATGGGTTACCATTGCAAGCAACTGCCGGTTGCCAGAGGTTGGAACTCATGCTTCCCAACCTGGGAACCATAGGATACCATTGCAAAGAACTTCCGGTTCCTAAAGGTTGGAACTGACGGTTCCCAACTTGGGAACCAAAGGTTACCATGGCAAGGAACTGCCGGTTCCCAGAAGTTAGAATTTATGTTTTCGAAGCTAAGCAACTATCATGGTAAGGGATTCCCAAAAATTGAAACTCATGGTTCCAAACCTGAAAAAGCCTACGTTACCAGTGGAAGGATCTGTTGATTGCAAAAAGTTAAAACTCATGGTTCTTAATGTTGTTTTGTTTTGTTTACTGAGCCGGTAACAGAACCTTTAGTTTTGCTTAATGGACCGGTAGCGGAATGTTTGCGTTCGGCTGCTGGGCCGGCATAAAAATGTTTTTGCACGAAAAAGGTGCATGTTAAAATGATATGAAAACATTTTCTTTACAACTTTATGGTTTTGCTTAATGGACCGGTAAAGAACGCTTTGTTTTGCTTAATGGACCGGTACCAGAATGTTTGCGTTTGGCTCATAGCAAGGAACTGCCGGTTCCCAAAGGTTGGAACTCACGCTTGCCAACGTGGGAACCACAGGTTACCATTGCAAGGAACTGCCGGTTCCCAGAGGTTGGAACTCATGGTTCCCAACCTGGGAACCAGAGGTTACCGTTGCAAGCAACTGCCGGTTCCCACCTGGGAACCACAGGTTACCATTGCAAAGAACTTCCAGTTCCTAAAGGTTGGAACTGATGGTTCCCAACGTGGGAACCAAAGGTTACCATGGCAAGGAACTGCCGGTTCCCAGACCTTGAAACTTACGGTTCCCAACCTGGGAACCAGAGGTTACCATTGCAAGGAATTGCCGGTTCCCAGAAGTTAGAATTTATGTTTTCGAAGCTAAGCGGCTTTCATTGTAAGGAACTGTGGGTTCCCAAAGCTTGAAACTCATGGTTCCAAACCTGAAAAAGCATACGTTACCAGTGGAAGGATCTGTTGATTCCAAAAAGCTAGAACTCATGGTTCTTAATGTTGTTTTGTTTTGTTTACTGAGCCGGCAACCGAACATTTTGTTTTGCTTAATGGACCGGTAGCGGAATGTTTGCGTTCGACTGCTGGGCCGGCAGAAAAATGTTTTTGCACGAAAAAGGTGCATGTTAAAATGATATGAAAACAGTTTCTTTACAACTTTATGGTTTTGCTTAATGGACCGGTAAGGAACGCTTTGTTTTGCTTAATGGGCCGGTACCAGAATGTTTGCGTTTGGTTCATGGCAAGGAACTGCCGGGTCCCAAAGGTTGGAACTCACGCTTGCCAACGTGGGAACCACAGGTTATACCAGTGCAACGAACTGCCGTTTCCCACAGGTTGGAACGCATGGTGCCCAACCTGGGAACCAGAGGTTACCATTGCAAGCAACTGCCGGTTCCCAGAGGTTGGAACTCATGCTTCCCAACCTGGGAACCATAGGTTACCATTGCAAAGAACTTTCAGTTCCTAAAGGTTGGAACTGATGGTTCCCAACGTGGGAACCAAAGGTTGCCATGGCAAGGAACTGCCGGTTCCCAGACCTTGAAACTTACGGTTCCCAACCTGGGAATCACAGGTTACCATTGCAAGGAATTGCCGCACAAGTTAGAATTTATGTTTTCGAAGCTAAGCGGCTTTCATTGAAAGGAACTGTGGGTTCCCAAAGCTTGAAACTCATGGTTCCAAGCCTGAAAAAGTAACGTTACCAGTGGAAGGATCTGTTGATTCCAAAAAGATAAAAATCATGGTTCTTAATGTTGTTTTGTTTTGTTTACTGAGCCGGTAACAGAACCTTTTGTTTTGCTTAATGGACCGGTAGCGGAATGTTTGCGTTCGGCTGCTGGGCCGGCATAAAAATGTTTTTGCACGAAAAAGGTGCATGTTAAAATGATATGAAAACAGTTTCTTTACAACTTTTTGGTTTTGCTTATTGGACCGGTAAAGAACGCTTTGTTTTGCTTAATGGACCGGTACCGGGATGTTTGCGTTTGGTTCATGGCAAGGAACTGCCGGTTCCCAAAGGTTGGAACTCACTGTTGCCAACGTGGGAACCACAGGTTACCATTGCAAGGAACTGCCGGTTCCCAGAGGTTGGAACTCCTGGTTCCCAACCTGGGAACCATGGGTTACCATTGCAAGGAACTGCCGGTTCCCAGAGGTTGGAACTCATGGTTCCCAACCTGGGAACCAGAGGTTACCATTGCAAGCAACTGCCGGTTCCCAGAGGTTGGAACTCATGCTTCCCAACCTGGGAACCATAGGTTACCATTGCAAAAAACTTCCGGTTCCTAAAGGCTGGAACTGACCGTTCCCAACGTGGAAACCAAAGCACAGCACGCTGCACAGCACCCTGCACAGCACCCTGCACAGCACCCTGCACAGCAACCTGCACAGCACCCTGCACAGCACCTTTCACAGCACCCTGCACAGCAACCTGCACAGCACCCTGCACAGCACCTTTGACAGCACCCATCACAGCACCCTGCACAGCACCTTTGCGAGACTTCGCCACCGCAGTCTGGATAGCAGCGTGCACAGCACCTTTGCCAGACTTCGCCATCGCAGTCTGCACAGCGCCCTGCACAGCTTCGCCACCGCACTCTGGACAACACCCTGCAGAGCACCCTGCACAGCACCTTTGCCAGACTTCGCCACCGCAGTCTGCACAGCACCCTGCACAGCACCTTTGCCAGACTTCGCCACCGCAGTCTGGACAGCACCCTGCACAGCACCTTTGCTAGACTTCGCCACCGCAGTCTGGACAGCACCCTGCACAGCAACCTGCACAGCACCTTTGCCAGACTTCGCCACCACAGTCTGGACAGCACCCTGCACAGCACCCTGCACAGCACCTTTGCCAGACTTCGCCACCGCACTCTGGACAACGCCCTGCACAGCACCTTTGCCACACTTCGCCACCGCAGTCTGGACAACACCCTGCACAGCACCTTCCAGATTTCGCCACCGCAGTCTGGACAGCACCCTGCACAGCACCCTGCGCAGCACCCTGCCCAGCACCCTGCACAGCACCCTGCACAGCCCAGCACCCTGCACAGCACCCTGCACAGCACCTTGCACAGCACCCTGCACAGCACCTTTGCCAGACTTCGCCACCGCAGTCTGGACAGCACCTTGCCAGACTTCGCCACCGCAGTCTGGACAACACCCTGCAGAGCACCCTGCACAGCACCTTTGCCAGACTTCGCCACCGCAGTCTGGACAACACTCTGCACAGCACCCTGCACAGCACCTTTGCCAGACTTCGCCACCGCAGTCTGGACAGCACCCTGCACAGCACCCTGCACAGCACCTTTGCCAGATCGCCACCGCACTAGTACAGCACCCTGCACAGCACCCTGCACAGCACCCTGCACAGCACTCTGCCA